CACACTTTTAAAAATGTCATTATGATCTATGTGGTTAGGACAGGGTTTCCTTGTGGTCTTATAAATTAATCTCAAACACTATTCAATATGCTTCAAATTTGTGTCTTAATGATAACTAATGAAACAAATAATTCAGTTTCCTTTAGTTTTACTTTTAATGAAAGACAAGGGATTAAGACGCATAGAGATGGGACAGAGAAATGGGAAATCAACCAGCCTACACCATGAACAAAATATGAGAGACCATCAGCAAGGGCAGGGGCTCAAAGTCCACAGCAGTCAGAACCAGGCCCTGGGGAGAAGCCTTCCCCAATGTTCCGGCTGTGAGCAGTGGGCAGCAGGTAGAGGTGCTGGAGGGGGCTGAGTCCTGATTTTCGGTGTCTGTATCGTTTTCGATCAAGTGTGTCATAGGGCTTCCTGTTTCATCTCCCAGTTATTCTGAAACAAAAACATGCATGAAAAACACAGGTCACTGCCAACCACATTGAGAGATAGTTGCTCTAGAATATGGAAACTGAAAAGGGAAAGACAGATCATCCATGCCATGGGAAGCCGGAGAATCAAGTTTACAGGATTCTGTGTGTTTACTGATAAGTTGAAGTCAGCTCTGACTTCTTGGTCAGGGTGTGACTCCTGGTGGGCCCCCAAGCTCTTCCCCGACATGCTCCTGATAGCTTAGCTGAAAAGTCTCATGAGAACTTACAGGACAACCCAGATATCTGCCCAGGTGACGTCCTAAGCTCCCCTCCTCAAGGGCCCAAAGAGACCGTATGAGAGGTCGCCGTAGAGTTCCAATCCAGCTACCTTGCCTCTTCCCACCTGAGGACATGGCAGCCTCCCCAGGAGAGGAGGCCTCCCAGATCCATCAAATGTTCACGAGCACATGCACCTGGCCTGAGTGGGAGGGAAGGACAGACGGGAAGCAGGGGCCACAACCAAGCAGAGGCCCTGAGTGCAGTGCAGGGCCAGCGGCAGCTCCAGAGAGCTGGGATCCATCCCATCAGGAACTGCTCTGCTGCTGAGACCAGTGCGGTCTGGCCCTAAGCAGCAGCACTATGGAAGATCATTCTCAGTTCTCCCAAACAAGTGAAGAGATACTTCTAAAGACAGATAGAGGGACAGCAGACTAAAAAATATAGATATGCTGTGCCCACAAGTCCATACTGTAGTCCCACCGAACCAGCTCTGTGCTTCAATCTCTGCTTAGGTGCCCACGGAGGAGGCAGTTTGTCCAGGAGAGAGCCAGAGACAGCACTGCCACAAGAGGGAGGCCAACCCAAGCCACTGACTGTTCCAGACATATTCTCTGACCAGGCACTGTCGATGGCTGGAGAAGGGATGGGTTCTACCCATGACCACACAATTCTTCCTTGGGAGCTCTGCTGTCCCCTCAGCTTACAATCTGTCCAAGATGAAACCCTGGGGTCACCATGAAAAGCCATTGACCCAGCCCTTCCTCTGGTTAATGGCACAAATTTTCTGTAAAAT